AATTTAAACAGAATTAGCCTAAGAAAAACAAAGACACAAAAATACATTATTATCAACACTCCAATAAGTATTTGGAAAGTGATATCATAAAAATCTCTTATTCAATAGAACAATCCTGAAAAATAAGATAGCTTATGTAAAAAGTTTAATTTTTCTAATTATGATAGCTTATGTACTGTTTTTAAAACCATGTTTTTAAGCGGTTATTTGAATGTAGAAAACAATAACTTTCCATTTATTTTTATAAGTGTATAAGTCTGGAAGAATATTTTTATTCTTATATTTATTTATTTACCGATATACAGAAATGAAAATATGCTGATAGAGAATCAGCAGTTTTCATATCACAGAAGAGATATTAGAGAGGCAGGAGTGTCCATACATGAAAGGGATCTGTTCACGTGACCCTTCTCTTCCGAAGCTTCTTCTCTTACGTTCTGTGCTCTCGTAAAACCAGTAACATCTTTTTCAAACCGCGTTTCCATCAGAATCACCATTTCCCCTGCGAGAAGCTTCTCCTTACACCTCCCTCTTTGCAATTTTCCAGAAGTGGTTTTGGGAACACACTCACTCTTAACCAAAACCACCCATCCAATCTCCACCTTCTCCTTCTTCCAGACACCTGCCTTAATTTTCTCACACACCCACTTCAACACAACCACATCCACATCCTTTTCGAACCTCTGCATCTCTGCCACAACCACCACCATTGCTGAAACTTTAAACGCTGCAACGCAGCCTCCTCTGAGTAACTTGGAGCAAATATTATACGCCGCAGTCTCTATATAATGTGGATGAACCTTTTCACCGTTTTCGAGTTCCATCACATCTTGACAGCGACCAGTAACAAAGAGGTATCTCTTTTCTCCTTTCACGATGCCTTTGTCCCCGGTTCGAAGAAAGCACTTACTAACCATGTTTCTCAGTCTTCCATGAAACACCTCTCTTGTTAAGCTAGGGTGGCCAAGGTACCCAGAAGCATTGCTTGGTGAAGCAACCCAAATTTCTCCTTCGACGCCATCCTCACTCGGCTCCAAGGTTTCTTCGTTTACGACCATAATCTCCACGTCTTCCTGCTCCATGTTTCCGAGCCTTGCAACCGGTAACAGTTTGTTGTGAGTTGGGAAATCTGGGAAGCTGGAACCATAAGCACCAATATTGTCACTGTGGCAGTTCCTCCACGCAGTGGACACAAAGGTACAGTTCTCTGCTAACCCGTAGGAAGGAGAGATAGAAGAAGGGCTTAACCCGAATGGTGAAAAAGTATGAACGAATTCTTCCACAGAGTCTCTATAGATAGGTTCATTGATGATTATAAGGTTCTTCAAGGTTGACAGGTTGATGGGTAAAGCGCTTTGGTGAATCCCTCCACGCTTGATGACTAGTGGCAATGTGAACGAGGGAACGGGAGTGCAAGTGGCCTTGAATTCGGACAAGAGTTCAAGCCAGAGTCTGGGGCGTTTGATGAACGCGTTTGGGGACGTGAGAACACACGTGGCACCGGAGACAACGGTCAGCAACAGAAACATGAGGCCACAATCATGATACTGTGGCAGCCACGAAACGATGGTGCTGTTTGGATGAAGATCGTAAGATTTTCTGGCAGTTCTAACGTTGTGAGCAGCTGAGCCAGCAGTGACAAGCACGGGTTTTGGGACACCAGTGGCTCCAGAAGTGTACTGAACCAAATAAACTTCATCTGCTGCACAACCACTGTATGTTAGGGAATCACGGTTGTTTACAGTAACGACGGCTTTGCCGTGTTTGACATGGTCAATGGAAATCCAGTGGATGGTTTGCAGCATGTGAGCTAGCTTGGTGTTGTTGTGGGGAGAAGAGAGGTAGCGTCGAATGCTTGAAATGTAGTGAGAGTGAGCTATGGCAGCTTTGGGTTTGGTCTGAGAAATGGCTCTTACGAGGTGGTGGTAGTTTTGATTGGAGAAAGAAGGGTGAGGAGGGACTATAGGTACGCTCAAGAGACCAGCTCTTTGGCAGCCGAAAATGAGCTCAACTAGGTCAAGTCCTGGAGAGCAGAGAAGAAGTACAGTGTCTCCTCTTTGCAATGAACCCTGCAGCTGTGATGAGATGAGATGAACAGTGTCGTTGAGTTGTTGGTAGGTGAGGGTAGTGGTGGTGTGAAAGTCTTGAGCCCAAATGAAAGCTGGTTTCGAGTGGAAAGCTGGTAACCTTGCCCAAACAGGAAGGTATAAGTCAACCACAGGTTGGTCGGGGAAGGAGGGGTCATAATTCTCGTATTCGTATGACATTTTTAGTTTGTCTGTTGTGCTGCTTGCCAAAACTAGTGGCATGATCGCTTGCATATTTATAGTTATAGTAATAGTGTTAATCTAGATACGTGTTGAAGCTCATGATCCAGTCTCTGATATTCCAATGGGATGATTACGATAACGAGAGGGAATAAGGGGATATGCGGTTAGAATATCTCACTGTCCCCTCAGCTGTAATAGCAAAAATCGTCGCCATGTAGTTGTTGGGTATGTGTATTCCGAATTGCAACGCCGTCCTGTAAAAAAAACGTTTATATATTGTAGGCGATTGTCTCTGCAGCTGTCTGATAGTACATGTTCATGTCTTGTCCTACGTGTTCTCTCCTTACCTTCGTAAATAATTAAAAGTTATTAAACGCGGACTTTTTTTCAATGTTTCAATACAGAAAAGGTTAATTTGATTAA